ACCGATCTCACCATGTCAGTGTGTGTCCAGCGTCATTTTGCTACGAGATCTGACTCGGCCAGACGCCTGCGGATCGTTGCGTACTGAATCTATCTTGTTAGAGCAGAGAAGCTAGAGCTGGAAGGGTGTTCCGGCGCGTCGCACCAAGACACTTCCTCAGATGGAACGAGACGTCCCATACCGCATTCATAAGATCACGATGTGTAACCTGATTCGGGTTTGCTCCGAGCTCGATAAGCATGAGTTTTATCTAACCCTGGAGGGGGCCGTAAGTTCAGTTCCGGAGGGTGATTCTCTCATCAGCTCGGTGATTCTCTCATCAGCTCGTGATCCAAATATCCATGTGGGTAGTACAGAAGGGCCGAGGAATAGGAGCAAGAAACGCTGAGGAACGGATCCCTGACATAACCACTTCCGCCAGAGGTGAAAAAGATAACCTACAGTGGTGGAGGGATATACGGTAGTAGAGCAGTGGAGGACAAACGGAAACCGATCATGTACTAGTAAGACGATGGTCTCTCAGGGACGTTGAGGATAGCAAGCTACTGTCTGGCGAAGAGCACGACCCTCAGCACACGCCACTCTTGGCGAATATCGCCGTGCCTACCCAAAGAACGAGGGCAAGAATTAAGCGGAGAATTGGATGGTGGAAAATGTACAAAGCGGGTTAGGGTTACACTGATACTGATACAAGATACTGTAGTCTTGGGTTCCTGAAAACCTCGTCACCTCATTACTATAAATTTACCAGTTTTTAATTTATCGTGCCAAAGAGGTTGTTAGGTGGAAGAGTTCATTAAAACTAGTCTAACGTTTAGGCAGGATCGTCGTCCTCAGAGCCTAAATATAGCCCAAGGCTTAGATGTTGCACCCTCTATACCGCCAAACGCCTCGACTACCTCCAAAAAGCGAATATGAGAAACGAACAATCACCTCATGAGCGGAACGATGCCACCTGCTGTTAGTTGTAAGATAGTGAGACATATTGTGCTGTCCTTATGCGTCGAGTGTAGTTGGGAATTGCACGTCTCACTTTCACATCAACAGATCGCAATAAATGGCAAGAGGTCATTTGTAATGGACAGACACTCATTTCGGTTGTTCATCCTAGGATTCCTTGCGGAGATCCAGAATGCCTCTAGCGCTTTTCTAGCCGAAATTTCAGTCTCGAATGCCAGAATTCTGCAGTTCACACTAAAACCTTTTCTGCTGTGCTCTTTAACCAAATGCTTGCCAAGCGCTGTAGGAGCATTGTCGCGCCTTTTACCAGTGAGTTGCTTTGATACGTATGGCCAGTGTTCTTCCAGTCTCCCCTAAGTAAGTTGCTTTACACGACTGGCACTCAAGTTGTCAGATCATGCCGTTTTTAATCTAATCTGCTCTCTACCTAGTCCATGCTGACATATGTCGCAATGCTCGGATATGCACTGCCTATCATAGAGCCTATTTCGCACGAGTTGACGCTTGATATTATTGTTAGGAATACTCACTAACACAACATAGTTGTCTAGCTGCACGCAAGAAAGACATCTTAGAATTGCGGTCACTTTATCAGATTTGAATTGTATACATATAGGTATTCATAGCGATAAAGGCGAAGAGTTTGTGGTTATGTAGCAGTCCTTGGTCCATCTTAAAGTGATCAAAAAGTCCACCTGGCGGATACATCGGTTTACGCTAGGGTGTCAAGGCGTTTGGTGGTGGGTGCCACATTTGAACCTTGAGCTATGTAAAGGCCTTTGAGGACGACGAACCTGTCGAAACTTCAGTCCAGTTTTTATAGAGATCCCTACTTGTCTGGCACAGTAAAGTAAAAACCTGAACGAAGATTTCCTCCACAAGCACAGCCCACACAGCGGTGCAGGCACAACTCCAAGGCAAGGTGCAAATTTGGCAGAATGGGCTCGCTGAACCTTAAGAAAACGAAGCCCTGCTCTCCGAAAATTGCACCGGACCTATCGTAGAGTATGCGGCGAAAGCATCGAAAGGGACGATGAATTCCAGTACTTCCGGGAGCTATCTATCCGCTGATAACAGCGTGAATCGCTCGATTAAGTGCAGCCTGGATGAAATGGAAGCAGTCCATTGACATACTCTGCGACCTGCCGTCCCATCCGTATACCTCATATTGTTACCGGATCTCCATCGTTTTTACGACGTTCGCTATGATAGATGGACCAACACGAGCCTGCATACACTTGTATAGACACACTTAGTGGATTATTCACAGCGTTGCAAACCTATGAATCTTAAGGTGCTCAACTTCCAGCTTGTTCCAGAAAACGCCAAAAGGATGCTACTGTGAGTTCGCATTCCAATACAAAAATTTTTCCTGAAAACAGAAGAAAAAGATTCGTTTTAAGTAGAAGCCACCTCCGTCGCTGCAAAATGATAATGCCACTGCACGTTTTACTTGGTTTTTCATTTCTATCTGAACAAACCCTTCTCATTGTTGTAGTTTTTGTTTTCAGGCAACGGCAAAGAGCAATGGCAAAGAGGAAACCTCTGTCGATCTCAAAAAAAGGAAAACTGGGGTAAGGAGGCAAAACCAGCTGAACTGAAAGCGCGCGAGATTCGAAGCGAAATAATCTAAATGACCAAAATCTCGTCAAGGATTCTGCAGGATGAGAGTTTTTGGAGAACTTTGGTGGCTCTCTTCAACTTTTCGGCCATAACAAGATCATCACAGTACGCGGTAGAAACCTTCTTTTACTAACTAACTTCATCCTATGTTGGAAAATGAGAAACTAGTTCCTAACAATGAGCCATCGCAAAAACCGAGTCCTGTTCGTTAAAATGTGCAGCCGAGCAAACACAACTATTTCGTGCCTTATGTCTTAAATTTTGCTCGATCTCAGGGGGATTCTCCCAATTGGTATTGACACAGAATGTTTTCGTAGAAATAAACTTCAAGGAAGGGAAGGTCAGACCCATACTGAGATACGGGACACGGAAAACCCGAGCTCACTCGTATTCGCTTTTGCAGCGCCTTTTGACATATCTTGTGAACTTTCATGGTTGTCTCCTGAAAAAGGTGAATTTCTCATAGTCCAACCGAGGATGAAATTTGCTTCGTTCCTAACAATGAGCCATCGCAAAAACCGAGTCGTGTTCGGTTCGGAACACACGCCAAACATTCAGTGAGCTCTTGAGATTTAAAGAAGTTTTTATTTTAGACTTTCACTTGGCAGATTCGTACTCTGCCGTATCTCTATATATCTTCTTTAGGTCGAAAAGCAGTATAGCTTCAATGTTCTTTGATAATTTATATTCTGCAGGGTTCTTTGTGAAACGGCTCGACTAGATTATTTTGGGTGGCGTTGAGCGCTTCCACTATCTTTCGTTTCTTTTTTGGGGACATTTTGCCCTTTTTTCAAAGTACAACAGTGGTCTGCTTTCTGCTACCTGAAAACAGATAAATTACAGCAACGGCAGAGTTTGATCAATTATTAAAGAGAATCAGTAGAGAAGCATGTGATGGCATTGCTATTCCAGAGATGCCGCACATGACTAGCGACCAATATAAGAGAAAATAAAACGATTTTTTTTGCGTTCCCAGCTGAAATTTTAAACTGGGTGCGAATTCATGTTGGTATTTTACACATTTTTTTCTATGCAGGCTTTTTCGAAAGAATAATGGCCGTCGAATTGTCAGAAGACTCACAGATGGCGTTATGATTTTCAACTAAAAGTACATACATAGTACATATTTAGTGGGATGGTGCCAAGCAAAAACATCTAAAGTCAGCCGCTCATGAACGAGAACTCGTCGAAGTATTCCATGACCACTTCAACCATCCTACTGTATATTCCGCTATCGGAACTGTGAGCAGTGTGTGTGTGTGTGTGTGTGTGTGTGTGTGTCTGTCTGTCTGTCTGTCTGTCTGTCTGTCTGTCACGAAATTCATAGCGCCCGTCCCAGTAGGTGAGACATTGGTTCCAAGAAGTGATGTGGGGGTGTGACGGGAACACTATTGGTGGGTGACAGGGAGTGATATCAGCTGATAAGTTTTGATAAGAGGTGTTAGAAGGGGATGGTCACCACATTCATAACGCGGGTGACAGCATCAGGAAGTAATGATTCTTAAATATGATATAGGGCATGGGACAGGACAGGACAGGAAGATCTTTGGAGGGTGTGTGAGCTGCTTACAAGCCTCGATAAGGAGCGTTAGAAAGGTGAGGCCATCGTATTAAAAGCGCGACAAAGCATCACCGAGTCTTTGGCTCCAGCAAATGATATAGAGGGAGGAATTGGGACATCAATAGTCAGTGACAAAAACCGATAACAACTGATAGGGACTGGTAAGGGACGTTGCAGTCGTCGTCGCTGTTCAAGGTGGTAGAGCTTTTACACTACCAAATTATAATAGGTTTAGTGATAAGGACATTGATGACGGGTGACAGGTAATCATATCAATCGATAAGAACAGATAAGAGGCCATCTTCCCCATATTTCTTATCACTCCTTACCGCTATAATGCCAGCTAATTAGAGGCTCACTATATGAACTCCTTCTTTGTGCCATCACTTTCCTGATAGCAGCCTACCATTGAACTGAACTATCTGCATGCAGTGATGTCAAGCGGGGGGGGTGGTATAAAGTGAGCATGAAACGGGAACACTCGGCAATTTAAAAATCAGGACAAAACAGAAGTCACCCCCCCCCAGCCGTCTTACTATACTATTTGCCGTTCCCACATTCCTTTAGTGGTGCGTCTCTCTAATATCTTATAGATCGATGTTGATCTAGAATACCAGTTGAAAGGCTGGCTCACGGCGGCGCACCCTTCTGTGACTCTGTACGGCCTGGCCTAGCGGGAGCGACTTAAACGAGGCTTTTGGCATTCCAAATCTTATGACTTGCTTTCTCTGATTTTTTTTGCTCCCAGAAATAAAAAGCCCGGCGAAGCCGGGCCGTACCACGGGAGGAGGAGCGCCGGCGATCCGACTGGTACTTTCATAAGAGAATAGAGCACCTGCTGGTTGGTGAGGGAACCTTGGAGGCGTTCGAAAATTTCGATTTTTGACCGTTCTTCCTCTCCGAACATGGAGGTCACGTTTTCCTTCGTAAAGTATGACGGTTGACCATTTGGACCTCGAAGAGCATCATCTCTGAGTTGAGCTCCTATGTATTCATTTTCTTCCTGAAACGAGAGGTCTTACGAAACTGATGTAAATGGGTTAATGTTGCCCCTATATAACACATACTGCATTTTACAATATCTGCACCGGCATCTAAATTTTCTCTTTCATAAGTTTGTAGAAGTTTACATTTCTGACCAACACTCGAGGGCGACGAATCTTATAGCGCCGAAAAATGAAAAAGCCGACCACCTTCATGATTTTCAGAGCGTCCGATACTCCACTGGCTTCCATTATAAGGTTGAGCCAAGCGTCATTTTCTTTATTGCCAAACAGTGAAGACACTTTCGCTAAGCTAGTCTCCTCCTCGATCCCAGTTCCTTCGTCGTGTAGAGCGAATAGCGATGGTGAAAGAGCTTTTACCTACAAAGAAAAAACCTACATCTTTAAATCCTGCAAACAAAAAAGGCATGGTCTGGAATGCAGCCCAGCAGCCTTTTCCATCATTTGTTCCCGATTAAGGACTATGCCAATTCAAGGGGAAAAGTCGTCATTGCTCTGTTCCAATCCAACCCCGCACATGTTTAATCGGCGCGCCGTCTCAGAACTATGTATACGAGGGGGGGGGGGGGCAATAAAAAAGTCACTTTTCTTTCTTGACTTTCGAGGCGCTATAAGGATCAGCGAGATAGTCGATTTCTCCGCCACCGTAGACCACCCTATTGAACTCCGCCCGAACCGGGTAATTGAGGGATTCAGGTCAGGTGACCTACTTGGATATTCCATCTTCTTTAGGTACTCAAGCAGTACAAAGTTTCCAAGAAGGTACGGGCGACGACATGTGGGGAGGATATTCTTCTCGAGTTGCTCGATGTAACCGCCAGCGCTCACCTTCAGTCCGGGTCCACGAAGAAAATATTGGTCTTTCCATTCCAGGTACGTCCGGTCCATACCATCAACCCGTGCCTTGGCGACTGTGGTGAAGATGATGTCCTAGACCGTGGCGACGTTGTCGGAGCTGCTCGATGTTGGAGGTCTTCCAGATCGAGAGTACTGGTCTCCAGGTAGCTATCCATGGGTGACTCCACACTAGAAGTTTCGCAGCTGTTTGGAGGTGACATGAATTCCAAAGGTCTTCTCCAGGCTGCGACTGGAGATGACTTCATATTTTGGTGTACATGAAGGTGATGGGCGAGAGCCAGCTCCTGCTTATCGAGGAACATCTTGGGTATCTTCGCCCTGGTACTCGTATCCACGTCCTCTGTCTGGGCAGCGAAAACTTTGCTGATATGTGACTCGGTCGAAGTGACTTTTTTTGCCCCCCCCTGTACAGGGGTGGCCAAAAAAAGTCACTTTGACCAAGTCACATATCAGCAAAGTTTTTGCAGCCCAGACAGAGGACGTGGATACGAGTACCAGGGCGGAAGATACCCAAGATGTTCCTCTATAAGCAGGAGCTGGCTCTCGCCCATCACCTTCATGTACACCAAAATATGAAGTCATCTCCAGTCGCAGCCTGACTGGAGAAGACCTTTGGAATTCATGTCACCTCCAAACAGCTGCGAAACTTCTAGTGTGGAGTCACCCATGGGTAGCTACCTGGAGACCAGTACTCTCAATCTGGAAGACCTCCAACATCGAGCAGCTCCGACAACGTCGCTACGGTCTAGGACATCATCTTCACCGCAGTCGTCAAGGAGCGGGTTGATGGTATGGACCGGAGGTACCTGGAATGGAAAGACCAATATTTTCTTCGTGGACCCCGGACTGAAGGTGAGCGCTGGCGGTTACAAGCAACTCGTGAAGAATATCCTCCCCACATGT